CTATCTATCTATCTATCTATCTATCTATCTATCTATCTATCTATCTATCTATCTAACTTTTAAAAAAACGATCTTCCTCTTGTGTCAAACCAGCCTAACAATTCCATTTTCGTTCAGTTCATATTTTTAAACTTTACCCAGAAACCTGCTGAGCCAGCCACGATACGACCTGAAACCTTTTAAAGATGTAATCAATACACTTGTGTGCATCCTCCATTCCATGAATTTCCTTCAAAATCACGAGAAAAAATCCCTGAAAAAATATTTTACAAATCCATGAAGCAAAAGGAAAAGGGCCAGACGTGAGGACAGCTCAACTGATATCCCAGAAGGACGATCCAGTACAATCCCCAGATCCCAAAGAAAGGCATCAGTTCTCGCAATGTCATCGATTATGGCATACAATATTTTTAGTTTTTTACGGCACTCGCGACTACATTAGGCCACATGAGCGCCAGAAGATTAGAGGTGTTACAAGAGAGTAACAAACTAAAAAAGAAGAAGGAGGAGAGATAATGATAGAGGCTTGATAGGAAATAAGAAGCAAACCACACCACAGCACCCGCCAACCACCCACTGTGATCGATTATTGCCATACAATATTTGTAGGCACAAGAACTGCATATCTTTTTATCATTGAGGTTTACTTTTTTGGCCCACAATAATAAATATCTCGTGACCGCAATAATATGAACAAATTCATAGAAATATTCTTGTTTTATTGTTTTAGTTGAGGTTTTACGGCGCTTGCAACTGCATAATGTCACATGAGCGCGAGAAGATTAGAGGTGTTACAAGAGAGAAACAAACATAAAAAAGAAGAAGGGGGAGACAAGGAGGATAGATACTTCATCTTTTTATTATAGAGGTGTACTTTAGTTAGAGCCCACAATAAATATCTCGTGCCCGCAATAATCTGAACAAATTCATAGAAATATTCGTGTAAAAAAACAAACAACAAAACTAAACAAGACCCCACCACCATACTGCAAATCAAAACAGTAAGTTAAACTTCTTAAAACTTAAGGAACGGCGAAAATCCAACGACTCAAATTTCACCTCAAAACTCATTATATGGTTTGGTTATTGTGATTTAGCAGACTTCCAAGATTAGAGAGTATGGATAAAGACAGGTCAAGCTGGAGAACAGGACAGCATTTGCATAAACGATACAAAGAAAATTAAATTAGCTTCATTCCAGTGTATAATATTATTTATATATAACGAAATTCAGTGCTATTATGAAATTTTTAAACATAAATAATTTTTGCTGTTGGTAACAAATTGTAAAAAAAAGAGAAGTGTATAAATAAAAAACTTTTCTAAGAAATAACGTGGAGAGGAAATATTAATAACGGTGAGAGTGTAGATCTAAACAGAAGAAAGCAATCAGTCGATGAGGAAATATTTATATTATATTATAATAACAATAGCATGTTTATATGATAATATGTATATTATCATGTATTACCGTGCTGGTGACGTTCATTATGGTCTGTCATGCAAACATCTCGCTCTTCCATGTTCTCTTTCTCAAAGAGCGAAGACCCGGAAATGAAATAGCTTTTTGATGTAATTCCCCACCCAACCCAACCCATCCCATCACACACACACACATACATACACACATACACACACATATACACACACACACTCACACACACACACACACACAC